GGTTCTCTCTCTCTCTCTCTCTCTCTCTCTGAATTTTCACTCCCGAAAGAATATACAATTCCTCTCTTCCTGCCTCCATATTTATGTGCTGCTCTGTATTTGTGTTTTGCCTGTTGAAACGCACTGCACTGTTTCTGAGGTTTGCTGATTTATTTGACATTTTCACTTTTATATGGCCAAATAGCTTTATTGTAGGAGCCCAAATTCAAATTGCTCTCCATTTCTCTACTAAACCTGAATTTTAACTCCGTTACCAAAAGAATATACAATTCCTCACTTCGTGCCTTCATCTTTATATGCTGCTCTGTATGTGTGTTTTGCCTTTCGAAACACAATGCACTGTTTCTGATGTTTGCTGCTTTATTTGACATTTTCACTTTTAAACATCCCAATAGCTTTGTTTTCTATGTGTTTGGGTGGCAGGTGGTTCAAGCGGTTGGTGGAAAGATTCCTGTTCTCCTTGATGGCGGTATTCGTCGTGGAACAGACATCTTCAAAGCACTGGCATTAGGTGCTCAAGCTGTCTTGGTAGGTCACTCTATCCTTTTATACTGTCTTTCAAATTCGATTATTCCATGCTCTCTCTCTATCTCTACTGTGCAAGAGAGAAGAGGGATTATTTCCTGTTCAATAGACAATGCCAATTCAGTAGCTCAAGGATGTCTTCCATTTTACAGATTGGGAGGCCTGTGGTGTATGGACTGGCAGCCAATGGGGAGAGTGGGGTGAATAAAGTTATGAAGATGCTGAGAGATGAGCTTGAGCTCACAATGGCTCTCGCTGGTTGTTGTTCTCTGAAGGAAATCACTAGAAGCCATGTCCAAACCGAGCAAGATGGATTCAGATCCATGCTTTGATGACATCTCTGATACTCACCCAGAGAGCGACTCTAAAGTTGCACCGTGCATAACGTTTGCTAGTTGTGTGTGTTGGAAGTGCAGGACTTTCACACTGGTGTGTTCTAATTTGTGGGGTGTAAGTTGCACTGTGCATAACGTTTGCTAGTAGAGTGTGTTGGAGATGCAGGACTTTCACACTGGAGTGTGCTAATTTGTGGGGTGTATGGATTCGTATGCGTATGCGCATTGTTTTTCGAACTGGTGGAGGGATCTTCGAAGCTTCATGTTGTGCACTAGGGCATGTGCAAGTATCGTGCATGCGAAGTTGGGAGAGATAGAGAGCCTTCGGGCCTCGGGCTTGGCGGTGCCTTGAGCCCAAGTAACTTGGTGGAATTGTGTACGCATCAGAAAAGACCGTAAAAAGATCAAAAAAAATGTTGAGAATACAGCAAAAAGTGAAATAAGTAATAAAGATTAAAAGCCAATAAAAGCCCAAAAGGCATATAAAAGAGGGATTATTGAAATTTTGATTTATATCTTAAAATATTTCAAAAATCAAAAAAAGGAAGAAAATAAATGGAAACATGAACTAATGCAAGTTCTCACATCATCATAAAATATGTTTCCAAGATAATATGGGTTGGCTTTTTAAAAAATGTATAAAGACTATTTACTTTCAATATAAAGATGTCAAAATCATTATTAACCGTTAGATTTGAAATTGGATGGTTAAAAATGTATCATTGTTTGAGAACAAAGTTTAAAATAAAATTTCTGAAATGTTGTGATGGAATCCATTGGATTTCATATCCAATGGTTAAAGTGTTTGTGATCTTTGCTCTAAAAAGGGTATTATAAGGTTATTTATTTTTGTTAGAAGTAGGTCAGAATTGTTATTGCCCATTAGATATCAAATTAGATATCAAATTGGATGGTTTGGGGTATCACAAAATTTGGGAAAAGAAAATTGATTTGTGAGATTGTCAATGACACTTAAACACATGATTTAAAATATGATAAACAAAAGTGATCGTGACTTCTTTGTATTAAAAGTAATGAAAGGTTTCTATATTTTTCTTACAACATAGCAGTTCTTTTTTTCCTTTACCAACTAATTGTTCAATTTTGATCAATCAAGCCACTCACTGTTTTGATCATAGATTTGACATTTCAAATATTTTGTTTTTAGTTTTTTTATACAAATTGTATGAATATGAAATTTAGTACGTGTCATTTTCTGATTGGGGCATGTTTATAAAAAAAATATTAAAAATAATTTTTTGATAAATGATCAAAATACCCTTTAAAACTTTTAAGGGTATTTTGGTCATTTTTTTTTATTGAAAATGTTTTTTTATATTTTTTTGCTAGTGCGAGTTTAATAGAAGAATGGACGTTCAAAATTTGGTGTCAAAATAATTTATAGAAAAAATTTAAAAATAAAACAGTGTAGGGACGTGACATTGTGATTAGGGCAATTTTAGCCCCCCATTCGAAATAGACGGTTGAATAAAGGGAAATATATAAGTTTTATGTTGTAGGGCAAGCATAGAATGCTTGCCCTTATTAAAAGCAAATCTTATTTTTGTAAACGTTTCCCTCATAGTCCATAGTATATAATTCCGGATTCTACACATTGAGACCATTTATTTTTTATACAAGGTGAACACATTTACTTGCAAGTTTCCGATGCGAAATTTGATAGTTTGGATGCGTTGAAAAATTTGAGAAAATTTCTTTTAAAGTTTGAGCTTGGTCAATAGAATAATTGGAACTATCCAATTTCACATCCAATGGTCAAAGAATTTTTCCTATAAACAAATGCACTGAGGGGATAGAAAATGGCTTGAATTAAGTGGATAAAAGATATTGTTTTGCATAAAAAAAAGCTCCGCAAGATGTTCTCATGCGCGTATCGGTCTGAATTTTCTTTGTAAGCTAATCCTTCAAAATGACAAATAATTGAAACAATTATCTACATAATATCAGAAACAACAGACCTTTACTCCTCTTGCGATTGTCACTTTTTCTCCTCTTTTCTCACTTGTTTTCAGCTATGGCTTTTACCTCATCCTTTGACATCGCATTAGATGCCATTGGGCGTCCACCATGTGGGTTAAACCAAAGCCGTTTGTTATTGGGAATGAAGATTGAGAAATGTTCCTTTTGCGGACTACCCTACCCTAAGGGTGCAACAGACAGGGCCAACTCAGACTCTGGCCCAGCACTTGTTGTGGGACTCAAATGGAGTCACCCAATGGTCATATCGAGGTCGGCTGCAATAAAGTGGGACTAATGAAGGAGAGTTGTGGGCTATGAAAATCGAGGGGTCCAAACTAGACCCTAGTCATCTGCACCTGCTTATTGGAGGGGATTCGGCTAATATAATTTCATCATCCTTTAGGGCTGCCTCACGCTAAGGCTTTGTGATCCAGGCCCTAAAATTAATTTGGAATACTTGAGAGAGAGAAAGATATATATATATACACATATAGATAGAGAGAGAGAGAGAGAGAGAGAGAGAGAGAGAGAGAGCAACACTGACAAGTCCCTCAGCTAAGACAAGAAGTTCTCAATACATATAAAGCCTTCAAAAATTGGATAGACACGATACAAGAAAGCAATGATGGGGCTGCCTTAAAAACACCATATTACAGGGCATTTCTATCTGTGGGAGAATCACACTATGAACCAACAAGCTTCATTGCCAAAAATGGGAATACACTGGATCATGTTTCATATCTAATGCACAAGCTAGACATGAAGCAGCTCGATCATCATTAAAAGAATGCAACAGGGCCACCAACACTGACATTTCACCTTTGAAAATTACTAAGTTTTCATGGAGGGATGTCATCCATTATTCTTTCTTTTTCCTGATTCAATTAGGATATCTTTATTCCAAGGACTCTGCTGTTTTCTCCTCTTTTGGAGGGGCCCACTGCTGGCTGGCACGAGACCTCGACCAGGGGTCCAGGGGGGGCCTTTGTGGGGGTTGTGGAGTGGGGGGCTTTGACTGCCTGAGCTCATTCTCTCTATCCACAAATCTGCCCAATTTTCCAATAATGAGACCCAATATTGCAAATATTCACCATAACTATTAACAAATGTAAAATCAAGGGAAGTACGCACCACAGGATCATCCACCAACCATTCCTAATGTTGAGCATAGGAGAGAAACTCTAGTTTCTCGCCTGATGGATAGGCTTTGGTTGATCTACACCATACACCAATGACGATAAAGGTGGAACACTACCATGGTGTATGGTGTGTATGGTGTCCTTTCCCAAAAATCAACTGATAAATATTTTTTAAAATAAAAGAACAAAGAAAAGGTAAGGGAAACTGCAGCATATATTTTCATCAAAAGAAAAGAATTAAGAAATAAAACATGCCGAAGCCACAGTTAATCAAAGGTTAAATCTATAAAAAAAGAGCAATTCATGTGAATTCAAATTTCATTTCATAAAAGAAAAACAGGAGGACAAATCCCTCAAAAAGAAGAAACTGAAAAAGGAAAGGTAATCATGCAAATTTGTAATTATTCCTTTAGGCAACTCACTTAGCAACTCCACATGATGATATCTCCGACAATTTAGCGGTGGTGTATCTCAAGCGTAAATTGTATAAGCTATTAGCTCCAGATAAACATACATGTGATTTTCAGCAGATTGTGAAGGCAATATATGCGAAAGCGAAGGCAATATGTGCTATCCATCGCAATTTCTAAACTTCCAAGTCAATTGAACCTGATGTACACATTTTTTGTATCAGCGGACTTCCTCCTGACGCTGCATATATCTGGCGAGTCACTTGTTGCCTCTAAAGAACATGGTGGCCTGACCAAATCTACGCAAGAGAGACTCATTTGACTTATCAGCCAAACATATCAATTGTCAGACTTCTGCCAAAGTGTAAAAGTAGGTCCAGTCCACCAATAAATAATAAGCCGTCACCCTCAAAGCATTCCTCATGCTTCTTCCAAGGTTTTCAGAAGGCTAAATTTATATTTGAGAGTTCCCCCCCCCCGCGGAGATCCTTTAGCAGATGTCAAAAGCCCTAAATGATATGCAATAAACAATTGCAATTTGTTCTCAACATGGGGTAGGTTATGTGAGACCCTTGAATCCAAATCCAAGAGCAAGAAACCAAAACTAATGTTCTGTATCAAAAACACAAAAAAAAATAAAAAGAAGAAGAATGAAACCAGAACTAATGTCATAGGTAGATGTGGAGAAGGTATGTGATTAGCGTAGCTCCCCTTGACTTTACTCAAAAACAGAGCACAAAAGAGGTTCTGGTTATTAGACACATCATGTAAGTACGGAATTTGGGTGGGTTATTAATGGGCAGAGCCTAAAAGAGGTTCACCTCCCATTGGAATAGGTAGGCAAAGCAAGTCACTCATTGGCTTACATCGGTCCATGTATGATTATCATTTCTCTAATGATCCATTGAACGTGAAACACAAAGTTAATTAGTAGATTTTATTGGTTCAAACCACTTTTGCCAACTGGTGAATGTATATTTCTTCAGTAACCAACATGAAATTAAACAAGATAAAAAGAATGAGAAACTGGATAACATACTCAATATAGGCCATTGGTGCAGCATCACCAACCCTTATCCTTGTTCGAAGTAATCTCGTGTAGCCACCAGCTCGGTCCCTGCTCAACGAGAGTAAGTTCTATGATGAGAAAGATAAATACATGGTAAAACCAAGCGGTGAAAACCAGTAGCAGAAAACTTGTAGAATATTTACTTGTATCGATAAGCTAGCTCCGTAAAAAGCTTATGAATAACATCATCTCCGCGAATAAATGCAGCAGCTCGTCTTGCAGCACAAAGAGTGCCCTGGAAAAATGTTCAGCAACATATATACAACTTTCCTCGCATGTGTTAAAATATAAAAACATTTAAAAGCACAAAAGAGCCATGATCCCATCAGGGGCATAGTTTTCGTAATAAGAAGTCAGACCACAGAATCTGTGATTGAAGTTGCACAATTATTGCAGACCCTGCTCTCAATGGGGACTGGAAAAGGTCAAACAGAAGTTCAGGAAATTAAACAGAACTTCTTCTTCTTCCTCTTCTTCTTTCTTTCTTTTTTTTTTTTTGTTTTTTTTTTGTTTGCGGGGGTGGTATTCTTTTAATCATTGACCTTTTATCAACAGGAGATTGTAAAATCATTTTACACAGACAGAAATGTTAAAATGAAGGAAACAAATCCACTCTCAATTCATCTAAGGAAACCCAATCGGAACCAACATAACAACAAGCTCCATTAGCTTCCCCATGCACATGATTAAATGAGAACACCTGGATGCTAATGATCTCTACAAACCCTACAGTGCATCCAGAAGCCTGCATGGCCTAGGGAAAACCTGTGTGTCCATGGAAGGATGACTTTTCCTCTTCAACTACAGTGGTTCAACTAGGCCGCAAAGATCATGAGGCCACTAAGAAGCACCCTAGCCTCTACCTCCTTGGAATCCACCACTTATAATTGACCTTGCAAAATATTTCCTAACTTTGCTGCTCCATCCCTAAATAATTGTCCAAGGCATGTCAACCTAGCTTACCAATGGAAGCTTCAACACCTTGTCTAATGGACACCTCTGCATTCCCTAAATTCTCTCAGAGGAAGATTCAATACTAATGGTTTCTAAAACTAATGGTTTCTCCATAACCAAACTGGATCCTCAACCCTTATCCCTGTATACCACACTACATAGGCTATAACTAGAGGCCATGATATTTTGGTCATCTTGTGGCGTTGTGTTGTCATCAACATGCTCTCCTCCAACCATCCAAAAATTCAAAAGTTCCTTTCCTTCTATACTCCCTGAATTCGCCAGTAACTAACAGAAAATAACTTAAGAAAGTTCCATGGTCAAACACGGGCAAGGACCACTAAGAAATTTCCCCCATCCCTCACCAAAAACAAGACAGCATTGGCCAATCTACCAGCAATTTTAGTTAACTCCTCAATCTAAAGGTTAAAAGATATACAAGGAAGTTTGCCAACTGCTAATGGAAACCCTCAGCGATCATCATAAGTCAGTTGCATGCTTGATTGCCTGTTAAGAAAATCGTCATCATCATTATAGCCTTTTCCAATTAATTGGGGTTAGCTACACGAATCCTGATCCGCCATTCTACTCTATTAAAGGCCAAACCCTCATTGAGGCCATAAGTCCCTATATCTTTCTGAACTACTTCCAACCACGTCCTTTTGGGCCTACCCTTTGCGCTTTTAAGTCCTTCCACTTGAACTAACTCGCACCTCTTAACATGTGTTGTACTTGGTCTAGGATTCATGATAAGTTTTGGCAAAATTTTACGTTGGCTGCCTACCGAACACAACCCAGCCTTTTTACTCGGGTATGGGATGGGTTAAGGGAAAATTTAAGGTCATCACCCTTCTTAGACCGTGCCTGTTAAGAAAATATTTAATAAAAATAAATACTCAAATTCACAGATCATTCACCATTTCAGTATAAGATCAAAATCTCAAACTCTAGGTCATAGGTCATTAATGAAAGCATGATAGCCATAACTAGTGTTTCATAATCCAATTTGCATGGTAATAGTACGATACACCCATGATTTATCCAATCAACTTTATTTTCTTTGTTTAAGATTTGCTAAATTGCCAAAATAAAAGAGAAAGCGCAAGAGGAAGCCTCCCATATCAGACATAAGTGAGTATTCTGCAGTACAGCTTGAACCTCTTACACTACTAAGCACTTAAATTGATTTCCAGAGTCCTGCAATTTTAATCACAGCTTGGACCTCTTGCATTACTAACTACTTAAATTGATTTTCAGGGTTCTGCGATATTAGACAAAGCTTGGACCTTTTGCATTACTAAATACTTAAATTGATTTCCAGAGTCCTACAATTTTAAACACGAGGTAGTAGATTGAATGATACAAATAACAAAAAGTGTTCCATTTGTTTCTTTTCTACAATAAGAATGACAAAGACACAAAATAACTGAAAGCCTAAAAGGAAGCAATAAAAAAGACTCCCAAGTTTCCATGAACCCATTAACAAAATTCAAGACCTTGTAACCATACCAAGTTTAACCATGGGGATGTAACAGTTGATATTGTGATCATTTAACAGGTAGTTATTCTATACGAACATTTTTCTACTTGCCCCTCTCTCTTTGTATCATGCACACCATAAACCTGTTTTTTCGCTTCCTCTTCAACATACAAAACCCTAAATGACATGTCTTTCCTCTTCCTTCAGCAGGATGAGCCACGCAGGATTCAAGTCCGCACCAATCCAGCTCGTTGGGCAGGCTCGGAGGTGGCTGGCCGACACCCGGGCAGGCAGGCCCTGGGCTGGCCGCCCGCCTAGGCACCCAGGTGCATGCCGGTATGCAAGTACACACTACTGAGTACTGAATGCACTCATGCCGCACTTCATGCCCATGTGTTTTGAGGAACATGATGCAAATAGTGCATGTTAAGTGGCTTGCGTTGTGCACAGTGTACAAGTACACAAGACTGAGTACTAAGTGCACTTATGCCGAACTTTGTGCGCATGTGTTTTGGGGAACGTGGTGCAAACAGTGCGTGTTTAGTGGCTTGTGTTGCGCACAGTGTGCAAGTACACAAGACTGAGTACTAAGTGCACTTATGCCATACTTCGTGCGCATGTGTTTTGGTTAACGTGGTTTGCTTACCTTCAATAATTCTAATTCTAGAATGAATCCTCTCAATTAAGACATTTAACTGCAATAGAATCATGGATCCCCTCCTCATCTATTAACAAAAAAGTGGCAGATGAAAGTTGCAAGTCCCATGCACTGTGATCACACAAGACTCCTCAGTGAGCAATAGATTGTTTACACACAAGTAACAAATCAACATGCTAGAACACTTTCCTTCATTCACAATTAACAAAACCTAGTGACCGAGATCTTCATTGCCCCAGAGTTCGCACATTATATCCATCAAAACTAACCAAAGTACATTGTCCTGCCTCTCCTTCTCTCCCTTCCATTTTGTATTCCATAATAACATGAAACACCTACAAGACCAAACTCAATCTTAGTCCCTAGAACAAGGAATTGTATTACTGCTCCCAGGATACTTGCCCCAAAACTGCAATGATAGAGGAAACAATCCCCTCGAGCCCTCATCAAAGAATTGGAGAGAAAATTAGAGAAGTTCATATATACATCATGTTTCACATAAATATATCAACCCATCTCGATGTAACCGAGCAGTTCTATAAGCCCATTTTGTACATGATAGACTAAACGCATTTTTTGCCGAGACCCCCTGCGTGGGTGTCCTCAGATTTTCTCATCCATGTAATTTTTTTCCCCAGCAATACATGTTAACCTTTCTCAAAAAAAATATATCAACCCATCTGCTTAGAACAAGAATCGTAATGGTTATTTATAAGTAACATGCAAATTACACGTTGCAGAACAAATAAGAACAATGTACATTCAGATTTGAGACTCAAACATCAAGAGCTACATGGCTCACCTCTTTCCCTAGTTGCACCATATTATCAGCAAGCCGTCTAATTTCCTTGGCCTAATAAATAAATGAAGCAAGGATTGTGAGAACAAGGCAAGCTACAAAGGCATTTGAACAATAGGGATTTCAAAAACAGGGAACAAAGTTTGTCTCATTCCATTCCCAAACTAAATCTACCACTCAAGACAAACAGGAACCAGCTAAGCAAGAAGAGGATGAAATATCACAAATAAGACATCCTAACACTAAAAGCACAAACCAAGTTCATCGCAACATTGGATATACCATAGATACCAAGCAAATTGCGCTGAACACGAGAATTATCACCCAAATTTAATTGCGCTAAATGAACATAAATCTACAAATATTCTATCAGATAAACTTAATAAAAAAAAAATGAAAATTATTCGATTAGATCAGTTAAAACAAATGAGAATCTACAAATCATTAAGGAACGCAACCAAATCAAAAGAAGATCAGGACTTAGGGCTAAGGCTCAAATCCTAACTTTAAATACTCAATAAAACACACAAAGCGATAGAACTCAATATAATAATATCACAACTCCCTTTGCTCAGTTAGCTCAACGATAATTCCCGAGTCAAAAGACTCTTCACTCCACAATCCAAAATTCCATTAATGTAACAACGACATGAAATAACTCAAAACACTTAAATTCAAATTTAATAAAATCAGAAGCCCTGTGGTCACATAAAGTATTCTTAAAAAAAATGATGACGGATTAAGTTATGAAAGGCTGCCATTCAAAAATGGAAACAAAAAAAAATAGAAACAAAAAATTCATATTGCCCAGAACCATTTTACAAAATTTTAAAAAAAGGACAATTGGTTTCTCCAGGCAACGAGCCAAGATGTCAGAGATCCAAATTAAGAGGAAAAAAAACATACCATTAATCCAAGGTAATCACCAATAAATAAAAGGTATATGTTCATTACAACAAATCAAAAACACCAGAAACAGGTAAATCATAGGATTCAATATTTTCTAATTAAAATAAAAACGCAAATAATAAAAGCACCTTGGCCACTGTAGTTTCAATGCGCTCATGCTTCACCAGCTGTGAGACCAAGGTCCTGCATAATGATTCAAAAGAAATGGGTCTGAAAATACACAAAAAAGGAGAAAATTTTCATAGAAATGTTCGACGCCGATACAACAAAACCACTAAGAACAACACCCACCAATAAATCTACAGCTACTAATAGAAACGAAATAGCATCATTAAAAAAAACAACTGCCTGTTAAGCATAAACTATAACAAATCAGCAACAGAGAAGAAGACATAGCAATTCAACCTAAGCATTGACATCCGGTGCCCAGTTGGTCGATTGAGCTTCCTGAACTTCGTCATGGCTCAGAAAATAGCGATCACCAGGCCTTGAGACCCTAAAAGACCTGAAATCACAACTACGTACAAGTTTTAGTTGTGGCAACATAAAACACAATTTTATCAGGGAATTAATGGTTAAAATGGAAAAAAGCAAGTGCTGACTCGAGCAAATGAATAACCGCGCATATCTAGAAGAACAATACCATGAAGCTGGGAAGAAACCGCAGAATCAAATCAGAAACCCTAGAAGAGTATAGTAAATCCTCACAGAAAATACTAAAACCCTTCAAGACTGCAGTAGACAGAAGCGCTTTTGCAATTGAAAAGACGAAAATACCCAAATGCGGTTTGTACGATAGGTTGCAAGTCGGTGACCGGATCTGCTCACCGTAAAATAAAATGCACAAGGGAAAATTACAAAAAAATAAAAATAAAAATAATAAAAACTCAACTAAGCACTTCTTATTCAACTTACCTCTAACCAATTTTTTTCTCACACATTTTTTTCCCAAATAAACTTTTTATGCAAATACCTCTCAAGAAAAAAAGTTCTTTTTTTAGTTCCCATACACAACAATTATTTTGAACAGATTTCACGTTGACTTTTGGATCCCAGTAACATATTGTCGGAGCACACTATGACATTGTCGAAGCGCATTATGACATTGTCGGAGCGCACAGCCAGACCGCTCTTTGCACTGTTAGATCACCTTTTGGCGGACCGCATTTTATACAATACTGGAGCCCTACTGTCGAACCGCACTTTAGTACCAGATTCCTATTATCGGACCACATTTTACACGGTGCTGCCAGACATCACTTACACAACGTTGGAGCCTCTATTTTGGTAGGACACGTCGTAGCTCCTATTTTGGTAGGATAGAGGAGAGAAGCATAGATAAGATAAAAAGTAAGTAAGGGTAATTTAGGACATTTTTTTTTTTTTTATTTGGTTAAGGTTTTTTTTGTATAAAAAGTATATTTTGGGGAAAATAATGAGGGAAAAAGTTAAGTTGTTTGTAAGTTGCATAGAAAATGTAGTTTTGGGATTCTTTTTGTAATTTTTTCAAAAATAAATCATTTTTATTTTAAAAAGTCCCATAAAAAATCAGTTAAAAAAATACATATAGGTAAAAATACTTTATGTAAAAATATCTCAAGTATATCGGACTAAGCTCAAAAAAATCGAATGAAAATATAAGATAAGCTTAAAATAAGTGCATCCATTAAGCGTTTACACTCTTCATATGAACTCCCTTAAAGAAATCTACAAACTTAACTAGTTAATATGTAAATAAAATAGTATGGCAAGCTATTTAATTAAAGCATTGAAAGTAATTATATGTTTAATTTGTATCATACATAATTACAATAAAGTTAAGTATAAATAAAAAATAAAATAATAAGTTCATGATAAATACACCATATGAATTTTTTTCATTAAATGCTTTAATAATCATCACATTTACATACCAAAAAAAAGCACCATATAAATTTTCTTATTAAATACTTTAACAAACATCACACCTACTTAAATACAAACCAAAAAAAATACATGAATTTTTTTCCCATTAAATTCATTAGCTATGGTATGGGTGACCATCCCTCTATTAACAGTTTAGTTCATAATTTTATATACACTTATTTACTTGAAACAGAGCCATTTGGGTACTCTGTTTTTAGAGACAGAAAATGAAGAGGGTATTTCCTTTTCTTGGGGATGCTGATTTTTTCCTCTATAATTAGCAGGAGCAAGAAGAATAAAACCCTAACCCAGAAAATCTCTTCACTTTGAGCCCAAAGCCACAAAAAACAGACCCCAAAATCCTAAAATCACTTTTGATATAATTCGTAGGGAATGGTCTAGGTTTAAAATAACTCAAGGGTTAGAAGAAATAAAATCTACAATTTTTATGCCTTAAGAT